GTTCTTATTCCGCTAGCCTCGAAAGCCTGTTTGAAAATTAAAAAAATGTTGTTTTTTAACTCGTTCACTCTAAATAGCTGTAGGAATGGTATCCTACTGTCTGTTAAGTGGCATCAAGGAAGAAAGCTTAGCACATTTTATCGGATTGTGTCAACTATATCGCTCATTCTACGACAAAAGATGGCAGGCTAGGAAGAATCCATCTTTCCTCCGTTTTCTTCTTGAGCTTACTTGCATTTCGGGCGAAAATTTGTGATGAAGAGATTCGAGGTTCGATCCCACCAGAAAGACGATGATAGATTTCTCTTGGCCAGTTGCCAATTGGCCTTATGTAGTAAACATTCTGGTTTATCATGTCCCTGAGACAATCTCCATCGACTCAGGGACAGCGTCAACTACGGTGTTCCAGTAAAGCCAATCGACAGTTGGCCAACGGGAATCATCTGCATCGCCTTCTAGGGGAGTCGACCTTCGAATTGCTTCATTACACACTTGCACTGAAGATGAAAATTTATAAGTCAAGAGATTCCCTAAAACCTAGCTGTTATTTCGATCTGTTCAGTTTTTTATAAAAAACACCCATTACTTTCATTTCGTCCTAATGGCGAGTGAAAGGAATTCTTAAATTGCTCGCATCGGAAGTTGGAGATTGTCTTGGAGCTGAGACTGTAGATTTGTGCGAATAACTCCTCGGCTCACCGCCCCGCGATCTCAGTGAATCTTTGCTGAATATGTGCGAAGAAGAGTTGGGTTTACGAGGAATCTCGAGTGAAAGTGTTTGGCGAAGAGATTCAAAGGTCGATTCCACTAGAAGACGACGGCGAATTCCTCTTGACCAGCTGGCGATTGGCTTTATTGGAACATTCATGTTGACGCTGTTTCCGAGGTAATCTCATTCGATTCCGATTAAAATGTGCTAAGCTATCGTCTTTTGTATCAGCCTTGTAACCATATGAAAGCTAACGAATCAAGAAAACTCCAAGAGCAGACGTTACTTTTGCTTTTTTGACTACTTTAAGCCATCACTGCTGGTTTTGTACACGCGAACACATGCAGGCACATACACATACAGAGACAGACATACCAACATGCTCCGAGGTTTGCATATGACTGGAATTAACCAAATCACTTTATACCTTATCAAAGAACTCAGATATAGATTATTATACAGCATTTTAGGGATGAACCGGTGAATTGTATTGACTCCTTACCTTGAATATGCCTGTAAGGATGATACCCTGCTCTGATAATGTCCGTCAAATGAGATGTTTTGATACTGAATAACAGGGTTGATTGATTGATCCAGTGAGTTTTGATCATTAAGGCTTACTCGACTTTATGTGGGCAAAAGAGATTCTTCTTAGTTATCTTGATTCGCTGTCAAAGGATGGCAAAAGTCGTTTAGCAAACTCGAGGCCCTTCTGGGGTATGCCAAGTGAAAGGGATGACTCTCAAATAGAGATATCCAATTTGAGGAACGAATCCAGTGCGATAAGTAATTCTAGAAAAGTTGTTCATTTCATTTCGTTCGAATTGACGAATGGAAGGAATTCGTAAGTCGGAACTGGAACTTGGAACTGCTAGTGTAGGTTTATGCGAATAGGTTTTCGGCTTACTTACGAATCCCTTCTGAAATGAAAGGTACTCTATCATAAATCCATTAAGGAAGTCTTGGAAACCCGGTGTTTCCACATTCTAGACGAGACTTTGTGCATGTTGCGCATGCCATTTTATGAAAAGCTTATTTGAAGAGAATGATAAGTTTGTCCCACCGACAGGTTTTCTTCCATCTCCCTCGATGGAGATTCACAGAACCTTCGTTAGCAGCGTGGCGGTACGTGTCAAGATGTATTTTTGTTTTGGAGAAATTAGACTTCCAACATGCACTTCATAATCGTAATTTGCACGATGAGCTTCAATTGTTTGTGGAGCCTTTTCTTGTTTTGTATAGCCGGTCACATGAAAAGCAAGGGGGCTCAACAAATGTTATCTAATACCGAAGGAGATTTTCCCAACAATACAAAATTCTGGAAGAAGCTTCTGTCTAATTCAAAAGGGTAGGTGGCCTTCTGGCTCAGAATATTTTCAACTTCAATCACTGTATGAGACAGTCACCAAGACATTCTAACTTATCAAGCTTACGAAGATTTAAAGTGAATCATTTTCCTCATTTAATGTGTCCACATCTTGAGTGATACAGTGTAAAAACCAGTTAAACGACATTTTTGACACTAATATTTTTTTAGTAAAATCCATTCGAATGAGCCCTAGTGTTTTATCGCTTGAGAATAGCATGCCTTGTTTCGATTTGGGATAAGCCGATGTTCGTTGTGCATTGGCAACAACTTATCTGTTTCCTAGATTCTTCTCTCGTTGCCAATTTGATCATGGTTATTACTATTCTTCCTTATTATCTGGTTTATACGTGCCTTTTTTTCCAATCAGACTGGATATTCCCTTTGTCACTTCGAACCCACAACACATTGACCTTCAGATCACGCACTTCCATGAGGTGCACGTGAATTTTTACATTTGTGAAGTGACCTGGCCCCTTTCTCCTGACAAATACACTCACATCTTTCAGGTGGAGATGGCTGGTAAGTTTTTCCTTCTCTTTTGAATAATCTTTTCACCGGATAGCATATAAATATATTCATCCGAAGGGTTCCTTATGGTTCCCACCATTTTATATTATTTTCTGACGCAGTTGTCGAAGGGTGTTGTTTATTACTTCTGTGACATAGTTAGCTGTCAGATGTGATCATTATGTTGCATAATATGGCTTTTAAGATTCTACAACACATCTGTGAACTGATGCTCTGACCCAAGGCAAGTCTTATAATGAAATTAATTGGACTGCATCAGAATCCAGATAGGACTTTAAATTGAAATAAGCCATAATAAACGTCATTAGAATGATAAATAGCTAAATATTTGTTGATCTTTATTAACTTATTGTCTACTCTTGAGTTCTTATATGAAATGACGAGTAGACCCAGGTGAGATAAAAACTGCATTTCTCCTTGATTAAAAATCCACTTTTTTGCTACATGATGCAGTGAAATTCTAAGTTTCAAAGCATTAGGGCTAGATTAACTATCCTCGCCTGAAACAGCAATCGCTTGTTGTTCTTGCTAAGTCAAATCGTCATGTTTATATTTAGAGCATGCACCTGGGGCAAGTCTCTTAAACTCTTTCATTAATTTTCGCTACGAAGGGTTTCGGCAATCTTACTTTCTTTAGGTCTAGATACTTGTCTTTATTTGAACTAAACTGTGTCCTTCCTTACTCTTAAGATAGGGGCAGTTGACTCAGTCTGATAGCGAACATTCACTCTTGGTTGTAGATTTGTATACAACTTAACTGAATTGTAATCGAAGGTATGAAGACCAAGATGGTGTGGCCTTTTGTGTGGTCGCAGTCTCTTTTCGTTGTATAGAGATTGTTTGACCTTATTTTCGCAACTCGGTCATATTGCTAGGAAGAATTAGAGGAATGCACCTAGTCCGGAGTCCATTGTATGCTTGATCATTTCCAAAGTCGGACCGTGGACGTGGTACATTCCCAGACGTTTCGGCGGCATCTTTAGTGAGTCTCGCCATTCTTAGCACCACAAAACAACTCGTCAAAGAGACAAGATAATGAAGGCGTGTTACGAGGATATAGGATGAGTGAATAGCTCAGCACAGGAGACATACCACAACGGTTCAGCATACATTTGGTCAAAGAATCTGCTTCACTTGTCTCTTTGACGAGTTGTGTGGTGCTAAGAATGGCGAGACTCACTGACGATGCCAGCACAACGTCTAGGAATGTACCACGTCCACGGTCCGAGTTCGGAAATGATCATGCAGACAACGGACTTCGGACTAGGTGCGTTCCTTTAAGTCTTCCTACCAATATGACCAAGTTGCGAGAACAAGGTCAAACAACTTCTTTACTGAATTTTGTATCATATTCTGCTCAAGATGAATTGACGATAAGACTTGATTTTAGCATTGGATTTCATTTCATCATATACCCCATTTTCAACCTCGCCTGGATCCCATTCTACTGGGGGAGTTGATGGGACTATGCAAAGAAACTGAATTCCTGCCTGTTGTGATACATGGCGCAATGAAATTTAATGTAATCATCGTGAACTAAGTTGCTGTCAGTCAAATACGAAGACCAGGCGAAACTGGTAAACATCTATAACACTCAGGCTCCTGATTGTTGCAAAATTAAAATAAGCTTACTGACGCTAAGATACGTTCTTCTCGTTTCTATCAACTGTCGCAGAGTAGGTGTTTAGTACAATAGTGTAGGTATCCTCATTCTTTATGCTCTTCTGCCACATATTTTAAGAGAATATATCATCTTTGGGTTTTGCGCTGTCACATCGATGTTAATTCTTCTTGTTCATTTACCTTTTGTTTGTTTGTCTTTGTTTATACCTAAAAATATGCCTTTCGACACAGAAATCTACCAACCGCAACGGACAGATTTCTTCCCACATCTGGAAGAGAAGCAACTCTACATTGTTCGGGCTGGAGACGATATTAACATTCGATATTACAAAGATATCACGCCCAACAGTACGCACATCAAAGAGAAGATGTCCAACCCGCCACCCGAGATCCGGTAAGGTTAAGTGTAGATGCTATATTTATTTTGTTATGCTTCAACCAGATGGAATGCACTTGTCCCATCATTCAGCTTTAATGGGGACCCCCAATGGAATCTATCGAACATACACCGTCGCTATGCCAAATGTTAGGGATTTCTAAAACAATGCTGTTGTTAGCAGAGGCAGGCCTTAGGGGAAGATGGTTTAAATTGGAAACAGTATAGGAATCGCACTTGATTGGATCATCCTATTTTGGGATTTCACTTATTGCTTCCTCTGACTTTGAATTTTTTGAAACCATACTGAAGCTTTGTCCGTCCTGAAGTAGAGTTCGTTTCTAAATGGATTGATCTCGTTTTCCCAACTTGATCGTGTTGTCAGAAAGTCTTAGTTGGATGCACCTTGTCCGAATTCCTCTGCTTTAGTAGTTATCATAATTCCAAGTGTCGGAACATGGACTTGGCACATTCTCAGACGCTTTGCCGGATTAGTCAGGGACTTGTCTCTCTGACGAGTTGTAGTTCGGTGCTGAGAATAGCAAGACTCACTGATAATATCGACTACGATGCCGGCGAAGCGCCTGATAATGTACCAATTCCACGGTACAACGCTGGGAATTATGCTAACTACTATAGCAGAGGACTTCGAACAAGATGCGTCCAACCAAGTCGGCCTGACAACACAACCAGGTTGCAAAAACGAGGTCAACCAATTTCTATACATCGAAAGGTGACTGCGACCATACCCAAAGACCACACCATCTTGGTTTTCATATCTTACAGTTTGGTTAGTTACGGTCAAACGGACGCTCTTGTCGAGTACAATCACCGGCATGGGAAAAGGACCATTAGGCAGTTCTCATGTACTCTTCAGTTAAACGGTATAAAACGTGAGGTGTATTCACTCTTTTTCGCTTAAGGTGATAAAGGGAGTGGTAGTTGAATTTTACTACGATATGAGTGGACCGTACGTTTCCATTGAATTTCATATAGCCTGGATTGCCCGGAATGTATTCTTAAATCAAGGCCATGTGAAATCCATTGGGAACTCTTCTGATTGTGGGAAATTTCAACTGCCAGTCCCTTTGTCAACTTAACCAAAATAGAGTGGTTACACCTCATATATATGATATACGGGTAGTCTCGATAGTCTACTTCTAAATGAAAAACGGTATTACAACTTTTGGTGAGTGAATAATATGAATTGGCGAAAACAAAACGTGTATCATCATCATCCTAAACGAAATAGGGCTAACACATCTCATATGGAATGCCGATCCTCTGTCTTTCTCCTCGCTCAAGACGATGGTGCATTTCTGTTTTAGTCACATGTTTAAAAACGTTTTTAGAATGCACCCAAGGCCAGGTTCCATGGGCGACTTGATCGTTACTTCGACAATTTGATGATTCACGGGTTGGGGTACACAAGTCGTTATTGCCGAACAGATAATTTACGTCCTGGAAAGGAGAGAGATAAACGTTTGTTCGGCATCCACTCAACATCATGTTTGATGCTCTAATTGTATGTGCAAATTAAAGCAAATTAAGCTACCTTAGACAATTTCAGGACAGTCGTCGTAACCTTCAATTAATCTTTTATCATCCTTTTGCCCAGTTGCACACCGACCCATTCAACTCAATGAACTATTAAACTTCTGATTTCGGCCTCCGGAAGCAAGTCCCCATCCGACTGAAGGGGAGTAGAAGGAATATCTGATTCATGCTCTGTAGCTCAGGCCTCTGTTTTCCTCCAGACTTTCCTGGCTCTCCATCCTTCATGTTCTTTCCCACTCCACCCCTCCAAATGTCACAAACTGTCGGAATGCCCATTCGATGTTGCAAAGCAAGCGAAGGGGCCCAAAGGGAATTATGCCGATGAATCAGAATTGTCTAAGCGCCAGGAAGAGTGCTCATGTCTACTCCCTTCGCGAAAGGAGGAACAATAGACTGATCTTAATGTCTTGCATGTTAGATGCACGACCCAAGACACCGAGTGTACAGACAATATAGTATAATCGAAGTCGGACACACCGACACGATGGAGTCTTCTTCGTTTGAACCGAAATGTTCAGACGGGGCCATTGCGCATTCCAAGGCCTCGGAAGAGGAATCCACGGGCCAAGGTAGAAGTCGTACTGGTGGGAGGAGGTTAAGAAGTATGACGGCTGCTTGATGACCGGGCTCGGACCCGGAGTGGGGAGCTATACAGACGTACAGAGGAAGCTATTTTGTCTGTCTGCCTCTGGCCGATGCCGCCAGCTGAAGGCAACAGACCTTATTCACTCATCATAAATCTTCTTCTGTTCACCAGGGGTCTCAGAAATAGCCTCCTTTACGCATTCCATCACACTTTCAGGCAAATGTGTGCACACTCCACCGAACACAACTATATATATATATATATATATATATATATATATATATATATATATATATATGTGTGTGTGTGTGTGTGTG